TGAATCCTCTCACCCTCTGCATCTCTGTTCTGTACCCCAGTTCTGTATGAATAAATAAATAAATCTAAAAAACAAAGAAAGAAAATATATACACCTGAGAGAGCTCACACACGATTGTGAGTGAATATGCACAGATGATTAACAAATGGGATAAAATGTTAGCAGCAGGTAAATCTGGGTAGAGTATTGAGGTACTCTATACTCCTTTAAATTTTGAAAGTTTGAATATATTTCCAAATAAGTTTTAGAAACACTGTTTTCTTGCTAAGTACACACTAAATATATTTTTACAACAAATGTGGGACTAAAACATGCATCTTAGGAATATCCTATATTTCTTTTTTTTAAGATTTATTTTTTATTTATTTATGAGTATAGGAATTGGGGTGTAGGCCAGAGGTATGGGGTGGGGGGTGAGAGGATTCACCAGAGACAGAGTGGGGAACAGAAAGGCAGATCAACTGAAATACACTGCTGAGGGGAGCAGCGGGCAGGTCAGGAAAGGTCTCATGTGCCATGGTCTGATGCGTCTCCTTGGCAGGAGACCGAACTCATTTACTGGCAATAGTCTCATAGTGCTGAGGCTTTTACCCCTGTGCCACCAGAGAAGCCTGGAATATCCTATGTTTCAACTAAAACTCTAGGAAGTCACTGATACAAAAATATAAAGGGTGGCATACTCACCAACACACATTTATGTGATAGAGGGTGTGGGTATGTAGAATGTAGTCCGCTTTGCCTGGCAAGAACCTAACAGAGCTGAAAGAGCTACACAGAGTGAGCTCGAGGTGCACTCAGCACTACTAGTATGACAGCAGGAATCCCCTCAGGGTCCATCATCCCAGCAATCAGCCTGGGATTTCTCAGCCTTAGAGTCCTGCCCTTGTTTTATGTCCCATGTCTCTGAGAGACCCAGGCATGTTTGATCTTTGGAACTCAGCATCAAGCACCCTAGCTGGTGCATTAGAATACTCCATAAATATTTAACCACTTTATAGAGTCAGACGCCTATTTACCAAGACTGAGGCTCTAATGGCTGCAGTTCCCTGATCACAAAAACAGCTTTTCAGTCTGATTCTGAGAAAGTGAAAGATCAAGGTAAAAAGTAAATCTTTAAAGGAAGCTAGAAACTCACTGAATAAAGTATCAACAACTTTGAAAACAGAATGAAAACCTTGGCTATGAACATATATTCAAACTGCAGTATTAATACACAGAGAAATGGAGAAGTCTGTATGGATTGTATAAGAAATTTCTGACATTTAACTATTTTGTACCCTAAAAACACCAGTGAAAGAGTAGCAAGAAAGGATTCTATGGACAAAATACTATCACTGTTTCCCTATTTAATCTTCTAAGGAACCTGACACTCTTCAGAGAATCAATAGAAAATTTTACTGGACAGTGGTACATAAGCATATGCTTCAGTGAACAGCAAGGGATAAAGAACACACAATAAGGACAAGTGCTCTGAATGCTACCAAATATATACACTAACCTTCAACACTGCTCTTAGTAGAAAGCTAGCACATATGAATCATCAAAACCTAAGCAGCTGTTAAAACTGGACAAATTGGTTCACATATAAACATTTTGTAATTTAGGTATGTCTTGTTTTATTCAAGAGGAGCCAAAATAAGATAATTTTTTTCCAAGAAATCCAAACTTCCACAATATATTCTAATCTTCCAGAACCTTCCATGGAAGTCTTAGGATAAGCCTCCCCTGCAGTCAGGTTGCTGTGTAAAATATTAATGTCTGTGGCTTTTAGAGAAACTCCTCTCTAAGTGACCAGGTTAAGGTTCTTGAGGCAGAATGAAAAGAAGTAAACAACTACCTAATACTCACAGCTTCTCAATCCACTTTTTCTTCTCCACAGGGAAATAGAAAATATCCCCAGGAAACATTTCCAAACAAAGGTAATACATCCAAAACTTTTCTACTAACCTTTCTTTGTTCTTATACTACGTGTAATTTAACTGCTCCACTTTCAAGAGAAAAACAATTAAGTACTGAGCTTCTCTGTTATGTAATGCACCTTGACTTCTATATTTACTTATTACATACAAACTTCTTCCCTAATGATAAAAATTCTATTTAGTGAAAATACCCAGTTCTCAAAAAAAGAAGAGTAAAACTCAAATATTTTCTGTAGGTAAGTGTTATGTTAGCAAATAAGGGTAGCCCAATAGGAAAGAACACCTAATACTCAGTCCTTGGTGTCTAGAACATCCCCTAAAGGAACGGATGAGTCTAGAGCTGGGGTAAGAGATTGAAGATGAACTTGGGAAATTTATTGTGACAGAGAGGAAGAGATCTTGCATATAGCAGAATGCCACGTGCCAATTGGTAAAATTTGGGCAGAGTGCTGGAGTTCAGAAACCATCATCTTGAAATCTTAATAGTAAAGACTGAATCAATTGTACAATGAATGTTATGTTTAGCAGGAAACTGATAAGCAGCAGGATATTTGCGTAGTCAAAGTGGATTGGTTGCAACAGGAATTATAATGATACAATAGAAAAGCCAGGCAATGTTTTGATGTAAACATTATGAAAAAACAGGCAAACCCCAAATGAGAAATGTCCTACACACACACACACA